TTTTTTTTCTTAAACTGCTAAAGTAGTAGGTTTTCTAGCCCTTAGCGTGGTGTCTACTTCTGTATCAGATACACCCTTAGATTTTAGTATCTGTTTTTCAATCTTCAAGCCATCAGCTTGAACTGACATGGATTATTGTGATGGATTGAGCCTTGAGACCGAGGATTCCACCTTAGGGGTAGTTCCCAAGAGACATCTGGATCAGCAATGGAAACCTCCTTCCTTCCATATCTGCCTAAGAACCTGTTGAATTTAAGGAATGGGTGAAAAACATAGCTCAGATGAAAGTCCAATTACTGGCATAGGGCATCTTGACCCTATGCACTTGGATCAAATCTCCTTGAAAAAAAGTTTGAGACTTGTTTGTTTGAGAAGGATGCCATGAGATTTATTTGGGGTCTTCCCTATTTTGTACTCATCATCCACCAATTTAGTGATAGTTTTGTTTCTTCTGAGAGCAGGATAATCTGATCCCAATTTTGATCTTCTTGAATACATCGATTTGGGAAATGTTCTTGACTTGGTCCAGTTTCTTGAATTGAGCCCATCTGGTTAGACCAATTGTAGTGGAAAGAATTCCCAATAAACTTATGTATTATTACACTTGTACACTTTTTCTAGAAGTCTTTTGATCCTGTCTTCCGAGAGAGATATCCAATATTTGCTCTTGCTAATTGATGTTTTTAGGGAGAGGACATCTTTTTATACCTTCCTTTATTTAAATTTTAATATTCCTGTCCTAATCAGCTGAGTGGGAGGAACGTAACCCATAGATGATGCTTACATGGATTAGCCAGGAAATGTTTTTTGAAAGTAGATTGCCTAATTGAGTGAATGCATTGTTCTGCATGCTGGATTTAGATGATATCATGATGAATGAAAGATTTGTTCCTTTAATTGACATGATTTAAAACAGTCACACATGCTAGCCAGGCCATCAGGATTCGGCTCAGTACTTTTGGCTCAGAGCCTGGTCAACCAGCCAACTTTGTTTCCAGTTGATAGAATTTATAGATCGAAAACTAATGTATTTTCTCAAAAGGATCCTTAAACAAACATTGGAACTTTAAATTACAGTACTAAACATCCATTTAGCTAAAGTGTTGATTTTTTACCTTATAATCAATTTGTATTTTCAATCTACACAAACAGGATGCTGTAGGTGCATACAGTATCACAGCACGATGAGCAGGATTCTAAATACAGAAGCACTAGCAATGAGAGTTTTTGTAATAGTTATTATTAATGAGCTTGGATTCAGCAAAGTATAAGCAGGGCAGGTGCAAAGATTTTTAGAAGTACCTACGATAGACACTATATGTGACAATATCTGTGGCCCCTGTGTTTCACGGACTTGTGTCACACATCACTATACCAAGTTACCTATACACATGGAATTTAAGGATACCTATATTGACGTTTCTTATTCCCCCCCCCATGTAGGGGATCCTCTAAACACTCCCTTTATTCCATTTAAAGGGGTGAGTTACTCTACACCCCTCACTACGATAAACATATCAAACGGCTATACTCCACGACTCCAGAGAGTCACAGTGCTATGTTGCATCTCAGTATTACATTTGTAAACTTCTTGTGTACTTAGTAAACACGATTGTATTATTAGCACTTTCTTGACAAATGATGTATTCTAAGGTTTGCCAATGCTTTTCCTGATGTAACGCCTTGTGTATTGTCTTATTCATACCATATGAGGCTGTGTTTATGGATTGTTAACTATGTGGTTACCAAAATCAATAAAAAAGATAAATACTAATTTTAAAAAGTGTAGCTAGAGCATTCGTTCCGCTACATTCTACATAAGATTTTTAAATTGCTTCTACCTATTTGCTAACCTGTGAGAAATATGCTGGCTGGCTCTGGGGCGTCCACCGGTCATTGTTGCATGCGGAGTCCCAAACTTGCAGCCCTAGATAGACCCATATGCACACAACAGCCCCTATACACATACATGCAACCCAAACGCTCTAGAAACACTACACCCCATAGACAAATACACACACGTTTTTTCTCTTTCTACAACCGCTAGCCAGAGATGTATACACTTTACAGCCAGTGAAAACACATACACATAACAGTTTCTAGCCACACATAGTACACCACAAATAGACTCCTTTACACACACACACACACTACACCACAAACAGTCGCCTGTATGCACACCCAATCCCACAATCGACCTCCAACTACATACAGCACCACAGAGAGCCTCCCCACACATGCACCCTTTACTAGCCATGTACCACTTTTGACCTTTGGTATCCGTCTTATAGGGACACCATAGACAAGTTACCAGCAAACTCATAGCTGTGCCGTGTAAAGTAAACACAGGGTGTTGTTCTCGTGCGACAGCTCCTCAGCAGGGCTCTTTGTATGAAATTCCCTGGAGGGACAGTAGACTAACTTGCTCACTTTGAGGTGGCGTGCATGTCATTGTTGATGGCATAGTATGCCACTTCTTTTCCACCGCCCCCTCCAACTGGGCTGCTCTGTCTTAAAATGCCTGGCTGAATTTTTTTCCCAGTCCGCCCTGATCTTTACCATATCCTAATAGACATTTTTACTGTGACCTGCATTAGCTTTCCCTGCATCCAACTGCAACCGGACACCCAGCCACATGGACAATGTCAGCGGTCTTTGCAAACTCCAGATGGTGACAGAACCGTTTCAAGTTAAAGTAGAAAACAAATCATCTATACATTCAGCTCTCAAAATAATGGGCTAATCTATAGACATTTAAAATAAATTTTAGTAAAAACATGGTCCTTTTCACACCCGTCAGTTATTTCTCTGCGTATGTTATCAATTATTACTCCGCCAACAACTGGGTCATTGTGGAGAGTAGGAGAACAGTCCAGGTGGTTATTCTTCTCTCCATCAAAGTCCAATCTCATGTGATTGGATTGACTGATGTCACTCAGATAATGGGCTGGCAATGAAGTCAGCGTGTTAGCATCATGGAAGAGGATTGCTTCCCAAACAATCCCAATCACTTTACAAGGTGTAGAAGCAAGGTAGCCCCGGAGGATGAATGTTACATTACTGTAACAGCCATGGGCCGAGGAACATGGCAACACTGGTACGCTGGAGTTTTCCTTTCTTTATGTCCCTTAAAGCTTAATGATTACACCCTTCCACTTGTCTTGCCTTGACTATATACATTTCTTCCTGGCCCTGGATCTCAAAATCTATGGTGCTGCCATTTTGTTCTCGTCTGTTCAGGTTTGCAGGATACAAACATCAAGAACAGCATGGACATAGAAAGAATGTAGCTGTTAAATGCTGAGGGGAGGCTTCAGCAGGCACACACTGACACAAGCCTCCAAGCTATTCCGAATACGGCTGGGCAGTGCCAATATTCGGGTCATGAGTGTTCCGCCTTAGTTCCCTGCCTTCCTACTTTTGGGGACGCTAGGAAACTGGTCCCCCAGGTTTTAACCCTTCAGATGTAAACATAGCATAGAGAAACTGCTATATTTACATTGCAGGGTTAATCCAGCCTCTAGTGGCTGTCTTCCTGACAGCCGCTAGAGGCACTTCTGCGACGCTGAATGTGATTTTCAAATGCAGCATGTAGAGCGTCAATAGGAAAGCATTGAGAAATGCTTTCCTATGGACAGTTTGAATGCGCGCGCCGCACTTGCCATGCATGCGCATTCCGCTCCATTCGGGAGCTAACGTCGGCGGGGGAGGAGAGGTCACCAGCACCGAGTGAGCCCGGTGCTGGATTAAAGTAAGTCACCAGCGCCAAGGGAGGGGGCCCTGAAGGTCGGGGGTTCCTTAGGAGTATATAGTGTCAGAGAAACGAGTTTGTTTTCCTGACACTATAGTGATCCTTTAAGTTCCACCCATTACCAATGATCATACCCCCATAAGAACCAGTAGTCCCTACTTTTTTTTCTTCTTCTTCTTTATAAAGTGCCAACAAATTCCACAGCGCTGTACAATGGGTATGCATGGTTAAAAAAACAAAACAAGGTGAATTTACAAAAAAAAAAAAAAAATAACTATGGGAAAGTGACAATGCTGACTTCACAAATTAGATGAACAGAAACACTCCAGAATCCTTTGGAAAGTCTTCCCAGAAGAGTGGAAGCTTCTATTACTGCAATGGGGTGACCAGCTACATATTAATATCTATGTATTTAGAATGTAATGTCATAAACTCCTCTGTTGGTGTACTGGTCAGGTGTCCTATTGTCCATTTAGTGTAATTTAAGACGAACCTGTCCTGACTACAATAATATTGCTATCATTTTTAAATGTCTTTATTATTTTTATTATTTATTGGTAAATATAAATCACTATAGATGTTTATTTATGAAAACAATATGTTAATATATACGCTATATAAAACACACACAAAAAAAGCAATTACAAAAAGAAATAATAAAAGATAACCACAAAACAGTCAACAAGCTAATCTTGTAAATATCAGGGTAATTGTGGGGAAAATGAAAGTGAATTTCAAATTTTAGGTGAAAATAGACCAACTCAAAAATAATTCTTCTAATTATGTTTATTTTGATTTCTATTTGCAATTCAGACGGGCCAGATTCCCTGTCATTCAGGGATGTTCCTCCTCTGTCAGAGAGAGCAGTGACTGAGCTCTCCCTGAAGGGACACAGCAGGTGCGGCACTGGCTGCCAAGCCCCGGGGGGCAGTGAGACAGGCAGTCTGGCCGCCTCACACTGTCTCCCGCCGCGGGCTCCGAGGAGAGTCACAGGCCGGGCGTTACCCCGGCAACAGGCAGGCGCGTGCCTGGCGCAGCAGCGGGAGGTGATAAGAGCTGTGTCCCTTCGCAAGCGGTTCTTTCGCCGGGAAAAAGTTCTCACGCTGACGTCATCATCCAGAGGTTTTTCCACTGTCTCTCTCCCAGCCAATCAGCGGCCGGCGCAGCTGCATATAAAATGCTGTGCGGCTGCAGCCGGCGGCCAGATAAGCGCTCGGAGTTCGAGCTGTTAGGAACTCAGAGTGCAGACATGGTGACCTGCACTGAGCGGTTACCCGAGCAGGCCCTGCCCGCCCCAGTCAGCCCAACCAAGAGGAAGAGGGAAGGGGCAGCTCATGAAGAGGTGACGCCGGCGGACAGGGGAGAGGGCAGCCCGTGCAGGGGCAGGAGGGTGAAGAGAGCCAGGTACCTGAGGCACAGGAAGCAGGTCCTGGAGCTGAGGAGCTGTGACTCCGGGGTGTGTGACCTGTATGAGACCCCCAGCACCAGCCCATCCACACAGGCACCCAGGCGGGTCCTAGATTACGGTGACACCTGCCCCTCAGACAGGCTGGGCCTGCAGAACTTCAGGGACTATGGGGAGGACTGCTACCTGTTCAACAAGAGCCTGGAAGACAAGTTCCTCACAGCAGACTGTCTGGCCAACCAGCCACAGGTGAGATACCTGGAGCCAGGGATTCACACACATATTGGGGAAATACATTTACTATTGAAAGTGCATTTAGTAATAGTACTGTAAAATAAAAGGGCACACCTATAGACTGTATGGGATGTATACTTCACTTGTAATTTGGGGGAAAGATGGGAATAGAAAGCTGTGATACAGCTGTGTATTATCAATGTGTCCAGAATAGTTCATTACAAATAATTTGTCAGTGCTCACATTGACCTGATCATCCATGCATTCTGCCCACTATGCAAGATTTTGTTTATTTGTCCTTCAAGACAGCATAATGTCCCCAAATATTAAAATCCTTTGCAATGTTAACTTTTACCTCTGAAAGGCTATGCTGGCTATCTACTATCATTCAATGTAATAAGCATCCATTAATCTGCTGTTCAAGTGTTTTGTAATAATTTGATGTGTGTTTTGGATGTTTTTTTTAACTTTTTGCTAATTTTGGGATTTATGGTTTTTATTAATAGTTGAAGGCAGAGTCTCGCTGTAAACTCATCAGCTGGCTGATTCCAGTGCACAGACATTTCCAATTGGGCTTCGAATCGTTGTGTCTTGCAGTTAACATTCTGGACAGATTCCTTTCCTGCACCCCAGTGGCAGCTGATTGTTTTCAGTTAGTAGGTGTCACTTCACTGCTCATCGCTTGCAAACAGGTAAGCATGTCCTATCATCTTGTTCATGTTAAATTAAGAAGAATTTTATTTTTTTTACATCTCCAGATCACCCTCCCCTATTTTATTCAAAGAATTTCAAATTCTTTTAAGTATTGTTTCAAAAATATTTGAATGCATGAGTAGTAACTAAGGATTAGTATAACTGGTTATTTTACCCCAGGGCTATAATTTATTTATTGGTAGTAGAGCAATATCACATTTGGCCTCCTTTGTAGTTGCATTTCTCATTACTGTAGAAACCATAAATTGAGGATTTATCCACTAAACAGTAAATTGTGGTGAACGTAACCAATTAAATTTTTAGTTACTACAAAATTATGGTCAGAAAATCTGTATGACAGATCTGTTTGACAAAAACACCCAATTTTGGTTACTTTAATGGCTTGGCTGGTTTGGCTTAAACATTTTCAAATTTATTGTTTGGTTAACCTTAATTCACTATTCAGTGAATATGCCCCCCATGATTATTTTGCAAGAACCTTGCTACTTTTTACATTATGGTTTGAGTTTTGTTATTGCCTTAGATTGTGTGCCATTTTCTGGTACCCAGATCCATGCATCCACTACTCTATCTGTAATATAGTAATTAAGTTTACTAAAGCAGAGTTTCCAGTAATATATCTTAATATCTTTTGGCAAGCCCAGTCACTTCATAGATGATATGCTTACTTCTCTTGTCGTTTTTGAGGTGAATTACCCTTAAAAACTATTTAGGGGAGTATATTACATATTTGTGGACTTTTCATTAAGAGAAAACATCTGCTTTGGTAAAATCCCAAGCCTTACAATTTGAACTTTAGATGGGTTTCTGTCAATTACAAATTCTTCAGATATACATATATATTTATTTGTATTACAGGTAGAGACACGACCTCCGCGTGTGAAACAACTGCTTTCTTTGTGCTGTGATGCCTTCTCTCGGGAGCAACTTTGTAATCTGGAATGCATTATCTTACTCAAGTTGCACTTTCGTCTTGGTGCCCCTACTATCAACTTCTTTCTCCAACACTTCACCCTTATGAGATTACCCAATTGGGAACCCTCTGACCAGGACCTTGCCAATGGATCCAAGACCCTGACTGTAGCCAGAAGCATAGCAGAGCTGAGCTTGGCTGATTATGCTTTTAATTCTTACCCTCCTTCACTAATGGCTGTTTGTTGCTTGATAGTGGCAGACCGCCTTCTGTGCAATGAAGTATGTGTACAGACTGGGAGTTATCCTCTCAGTCTGCTGCAGGAATGCATGGGCAAAATTGACTTACTGGTTTCTTTGAACCTAAACTCCTTACAATGCCTTTTACCATGTGACCTCCCAGACAAGACTATGGATGTGGATAATTGACAGTCTCCATATAAGTATGGCTTCCAATTAGTAGGCAGTTTTTAGAAATAAATTATAGATATTATATTAAACAAAATCTTTTATTTAAGACACTGCTGAATATACAAAAAAAGATTTAGCAGTTTAATCAGTTCTTATAGAATTTAATATTTGTATTTCTTGAAGGATATTGACATTCTTTTAATTTAGCAGTATTGCCGTTTAGCTACAAACTTGAATAGTTATACTACATTTAATTTATTTACAATGCAATATATTTCTATATTGTACTAATATAGAAACCTAAGATGTACTGTTTTATTGAAGAGTTGTATTACTGAGGCATTATATGTTCTTTTTTGCACTGATAACATTTGTTTTCTAAATTCTGGTATTTGTAAATAATGTAAATATAGATGCACTGTTTATATGAATGAACATTTGTTGAGCGTAATAATTATTTGACATTAATATTAAAATAAAATTCTTAATTCATTAACAATATACATTTTGTATTTTTTTTTTTATTTTGTGGCATTTTTTTTCCTGTTGCTTTTAGTGTTTTTTTTTTTTTTGGTTTTTGTTTTTTTGTGGTATTCAGATTTGTGTAAATAATTAAACCATGTGAGAACAGTTTGACAACTTCCCTGGGTCCCACTCTGCTCCTGTGGCTAAATCCTTCCTTGCGTATTTCCCTGCAAGGTAAATCACATATCCCATTAGCTTTCCTGAGCTAAGCAGAGCCATGCAGGACCACTCACAAACAAAAATATGTATTCATAATCTGCACATTTGACTTGTTTGTTGCAAATATATTTTGTTTGTGTATTGTGCCCTAAGCACAGCTACAAATCTCGCAGAGCTGTGTCACCCAGAACTCTGACAAAATGAGCATCTGAGCACCATATACAGTGAAATGACTCCATGTATACAGAATCTGCTTATCTATTTTTGTAATGGGGTATATCAGTTTTGTGCTGAGAGTTGCCGAATACGACATAGTATTGAATTTCCAATGAATTGGTGATTACGATCTACTTGTATCACAGAGTGGTTTCTGTCATATTTGGCAGCTTGATTTAAGGTTTTCCCAGGATGCTTTCCATTCATGTGATTCAGAAATTAGCCCATTTTCTATCGAGATCTTTCTCAGGTATGGTTGGATGCAGACACGCTAATGCAGTTGGTTCAGCGGCAATAACACTATTAGTATGGGGTAAGGGCAGAGATACAGGTGGGGAATGTGTTGGTGTAGTAAACTGTAAGGGATTGGGGAGACTGAACATATGACTCATATGGGACACAAATGTGATGTGCAGAGATACAAGGGGGGTGGGGAGAGGAGGGCATAGAGGGATAAAAGTGCTCTGTGTATGTGCAATATGAGGATAATATAGGCAATATCATGTGCATGTGCCACAATGTACTATCTATGTATATAGATTACACACACCACATGACCAAAAGCATATGTACACTGTACCATCTGTGGGAATTTGTGCAAATTCAGCCAAAAGAGCATTGTGGTATGAGGCAGTGAAAAGGTCTCGCTCTCAGTGTTCCATTTCATCCAAACAGAAAGTTGTTCAATGTACTTGAGGTTTCGGGTTCCTCCACATCAAACTCGTCAAACCATGTCTTCATGGATCTTTCCTGTTCTGTCAGGGGCATAGTCATGCTGGCACAGGAAAGGTCCTTCCCCAAACTATTGCCACATTGCTGGAAGCAGCTTGTGGTCTGAAATATATTTGTGTCCTGAAGCCTAGTGCCAACCCTAAAAAAATACCCCCAGACTATAATCCTTCCTTCACCAAACTTTACAGTTGACATTGTGCATTCTGGTAGGTAGATTATTCCTGGCAACAGCCACATCCAAATTCTTCCATCAGACTGTCAGATAGTGAACTGTGATTCATCACCACAGTCCACAGAGAACACATTTCCACTGCTCCAGTCCAGTGGCGGCCTGCTTTACACCACTCCAGCTGACACGTGGCATTGCATATACAAATGTGAGACATATTCAGAGCTGCTGCAAATCCATTTCAAGAAGCTTGTGATGCCAAAGTTCTTCTGCTGCTGATTCCAGAGGCAGTTTGGAACTCTGTAGTGAATGATACAGCAGGTGATTGTTATGTGCTGTTAGCTTCGGATCCCCGCTCTGAGTATGTATGGCCTACTATTTTCTGGCTGGGCTTTTGCTCCTAGATCTTTTTACTTCACAATATTACCACCTACAATTGGCTGGGGAAGGTCTAGTAGGGCATACATTCCACAAATTGATTTGTGATAAAGGTGGCATTATCACAGTGCCACATTTAAAGCCATTGAGCTTTTCAGTGCTACCTATTGTACTGCCAGTGATAGCCTTTGGAGATTTTATGTCTTTATTCTGGATTTTATGCACCTGTTAGCAATGGGTGAGGCTAAAGCACTCAGTTATTAGCAGAGGTTCACCATATAGTGCATGTATATTAATGTATGTCAATATGATAATATTGATTCAATGCATCTCTATGAGGAGATGCTGTTTGGCCAGGGCGGCCCCCTGGCCCGCCTCCTTAGCTGAAATCTTAAGAATTGACACACTCAGCCATGGGGAAGCATTGTGATTGGTTGAGATCATCACTTCTGATGATCTAAGCCAAGGAGGAAGATCAGGGGCAGAGTCAGCATCAGCAGACTGGAATAAAGGTAAGATTTTACTATATCTAGGAGAGCGGGGCAGGGGTGCTAGATAGTCGTTTTAACACTATAGGGTCAGGAATACATGTTTGTGTTCCTGACCTAATAGTGTTCTTTTAAGTGTGTTGAGAATAGCTGGGCTCTGCTGAATTACAGCTAAAAAGCTAATAACTTTTTTATTTTCTGTTGGAAACATGAATGAGGCTTTATAATTTGGACAATTTCACTAAACAACTTATGCAAGTATGTCTATGTAAAGGGACACTAAAGTCACCAAAACAACTTTAGCTTATTGAAGCAGTTTTGGTGTATAAATTATTTCCCTGCAGTGTCCACTGCTCAATTATCTGCCATTTAGGAGTTAAATCACTTTGTTTATGCACCTTAGTCACACCTCTCTGCATGTGACTTGCACAGCCTTCCTAAACACTTCCTGTAACAAGTCAGCTAATGTTTATACTTCCTTCATTGCAAATTCTAATTAATTTAAAAAGTATTATTCCCTGCAATGTTGATAGCTTGCTAGACTCCAAAGAAGCCTCCTGTGTATGATTAACGTTCACTTTAGAGAGCAGGCAATAAGAACTTTTAAAGTAAGTTACATCTAATTGAAAGTGAAACATTTTTTTTCCCTGCATGGTATGTGAGTCACAGCCAGGGCAGGTGTGGTTAGGCCTGCATGGACAAACAAAAGGGATTTAATTCCTAAATTGCAGAGAATTGTCATTGATCATGATCTATACATTAAAACTGCTTCATTAAGCTAAAGTTGTTTTGGTGACTATAGTGTCCCTTTAATATTGCATTATTATGTTTTGGTTTTTTTCATTTCAGTAACTAAAGGAACAGTTAATTGTTAATTGTGCTTAACAGTAGCCAAAAGTGTTACCAAAATGAAGAGAGGAGCCACACTCAATTCCAATCGACACCAGGTGTACTGGAGCATGACCAGCAATCCCACAACGCTCAAGCAAACAAAAGAATGGTCTCCAGGCACTCAGGGTGTTCAAAGACCTCATAGCAGGTCGAAACGTTGCTGCTTGGTCACATTTTTTAATCTATAAAACTGCCCTTGGTTTGAACATCCTGAGTGCATGGAGACTGTTTGCTTAACAGTAGCCAAACGACATAGAACTTTGAAATGGAGTATATACAGGTGTCCTGCACATCACTGTGGCCCACTGGACTTTTTAATGTGGCCCAGAAAGCTTCAGTCCAAAGATCAACTGGTGCATGTCCTATTTAAATTAATTGATTCTTTTCAGATGAAGTTAGAAATCTTTAAGTGTGAACTTCAAGACCAGAATTGAACTAATTTCCAATGCAATAAAGTCCTCAGTATGAAGCTGCAATATCTCATACACTGATCATCCACAACATGAAAAGCACCTACATAATATTGTGTTGATCGCTCTCGTACTTGAAAACTGCTATGATGTGTTGCGGCATTGACTCCACAAGAACGCTGAACGTGTACTTGGTATCTGGCACCAACACTTTACCAGCAAATCCGTTTAGTCCTGCAATTTGTGAAGTGGGGCCAACATGGGATGGATTTGTTGTTCCAGTACATCCCACAAACTCAATCGGATTGAGCACTGGGTAATATGGAGGCCAAGGCAACGTGTTCAATTCTTTGTCATGTTCCTCAAACCATTTCTGAACAATTTTTGAAGTGGCAATGTGCATTATCCTGCTGAAAGAGGCCACTGCCACCAGGGAACACCATTGCATGAAGGGGTGCATGCAGTCTACAACAATCTCTAGGTGGTAAGAGTAAACGTAACATCCACATAAATGCCAGAAACAAAAGTTTCCAAGCAGAATATTGCCAAGATCAAAACACTGCCTCTGCCGGCCTGCCTACTTTGCATAGTGCATCCTGCTGCCATATGTCCCCCAGGTGAACCACACATGCACCCAGCCATCCACCCGATCTAAAAGAAAATGTGATTCATCAGACCAGGCAACCTTCTTCCATTGCTCCATGGTCCAGTTCTACATAGTTACAAAGGCTTAAAAGAGACATGCGTCCATCAAGTTCAGCCTTCTAACACTTACATCCCCATTGAAGGCACTTTTGTTCGTCAACAGGGCTCATCATGGGCACTTTAACTGGCCTGCAGTTACGCAGCAAGCCCCATATGCCACAAACTGCAATGCACTGTATGTTCTGACACCTTTCTATCATGGCCGCCATTATGTTTTTCAGCAATTTGAGCTTCAATAGCTCTTCTGTGCGATTGTATCAGAGGGACTACCCTTCACTCCCAAAATGCATCAATGAGCCTTGGACCTCCATGACCTTCATGCTGGTTCACCAGTTCTCCTTCCTTGAACCACTTTTGGTACTTGCTAACCACTGCATACTAGGAACACCCCACAAGACCTGCCGTTTTGGAGTCGCTCTGCACCAGTCATTTAGCCGTTACTATTTAGCCCTTGTCAAAGTGACAGATTTTTTCACTTGTTTTTTTGTCCTGCTTTCAACACATGAAATTCAAGAACTGACTGTTCTTTGCTGTCTAATATATCCCACTGCTCGACAGGTGCCACTGTAAAGAAATAGTCAATGGTATTCACTTCACCTGTCAGTGGTTTTCATGTTGTGGCTGATCTGTGTATTCTATGATAGATTGCAAGATTTCCATGCACAATAAAAAATCTTAAACATGGTAAATCCTTTATTGATGTAATGGAGGCTCCAGGGGACCCGCACATTGAAATAATTAACCTTCATTATCACTCAGACCTGAAAATTAGAATGAAATGCCTCTCTTAGAATTTTAACAAAAGTATGCAGCATAGGGAAAATGTGTCAGTTTAAGAATGCGTGCAGCAAGAATCTTCTCCCTCTTCAGAAACATATACTGATGTGAACAGATGTTTTCCAGAAAAAGTTAGTCCAAGAACAAATTACTGATTGTCACCTGGAGCACTGCCTCTGTTGAGCTATCAGATGTAGTTCCTAACATTGAATTTTATTAAGACACGGAGGCTCCTATTATGCTGCACTCTTTCTTTATTTCCCTCAGCAGCAAAGAAAAAACTTTATAAACATAACCAATAATAACATTAACAGTCTCAGGTGTAATCTTCCTAGTAACAGGAACAGCCAATCAGGATCCACTTCTCCAGCATAATAGGCTCTGTCAACCAATCCTGTTCCTCTTTCTTTGCTGCTCCCTCAGTTAAGTATATCTGATCCCTCAGGCTCCTTAACTGTGGGATTAGTTTTATATTGAATTACTTTATATTGAATTACTTTTATATTGTATTAATATTATATTGTATTAATTTCCTAGCATTCATTTCATAGTATTAATTTTATAGTATTAATTTTCTAGTGTTAATTTTTTTATATGTGTTACTTTATTACTTTTTACTTGGTATTATTGATGTGCTACTGTAGAAAACATTTCTAGGGACATCCTTCATAGTTGTCCCTTTATTATTTTATTCTGCTGAATTTTCCCTTCCCCTTTAAGTTTTTCCCCGCTCCAGCCGCTCGCCCCTCAGAGCCTAATTTGCAGGGGCTCGGGGACGTCGGCTGGAGCCGCACCCGGCGCTTCGCGCCCTCCTGCCGTGCCCGACCGCCGACTACAGAGCTCACTGAGCTCAGTTATCAGCTCCCTGCTCGCGGCGTACTTGTGCGCGCTGAGCGCTACACATTTCGCCGCGAGCAGGGCTTACCGGACTCTCTGCCTCCTCTGCACTGCTCCGGCGGCCATTTTCTGTTTTTTCCCGCGCGCGGCACGTAGCTCCACCCCCAACTCCCGGTCCTCGGAGTTGGGTTGCAGCTACAGTGGCGGTCGGACGGCTCCTTGCCCCCCTCCTCACCTGTCTCATTTAATTGTGCTTCTTGTTTTTGTGAGTACTCATTTTTCTCTTAAAGGTATATTTCCCCTTTCTATCTTTGGGTTACTCAACCCATCTAGGTCAGCTCAGTTCATTTATTTAAAGGGCCAGTGGTATACATAACATGCCTGGGGACAAAGATGTACCCTCTGGGTCTCTTGTCAATAATTTGGGGTCTGTTAAAACTACCCCAGGGGTACCTGAAATTGGTGCAAATAACCCCGCTGATTTTGAATCTACTGCTGATATGCAGCTTATGTTTGACAACACCATGTCCCATGTGGTGACTAAGGCCCTCACATCAGCAATGGGACTGATGTCTGAATCTCTATCACAGACTATTACTCACGCTATACTTGGGGCACAAAAGTCGACCCAACCGGTCGCTACCCAGGCTTTGCCTGCAGTAACCCCTTCCCAACCTCACATTGGCCGCAAGGCCACTGCAAAAACTAAACACTCTTCAATCTCACAGATGGACAGCTACACACCTGTCACAGATGGCGCGCCTAATATACCACCGCGCAAAAGAGCCACTAGCCGGGCAAAATCGGCTAGGTTATGGAAGCGGGCAAAAGCCCAACTAGAATCTGAGTCTGATCTCAGCGAAATTGAAGAGGTCACTGATATGGATTCGTAGGATCCATCAGATCCCCAATCAGAGGGTATGGTCGACGACCATGACCCGAGTACACAGATTGCACCTCCATCTGAGTCATATGACATGGAGCTTAAAGTACCAGACGATGCCACCAGATTGGTTGACCCCTACGGGGAACCTCTGTTCGACCCCGATGACCTACGTCATCCAAGGTCAGCGGACTGGTCACCTTCGGCCCATGTGGCCAAATACGTGGCATCGCGGACTCGCAAACCTTTAAATAAGGTGACACGAAGCAAATTGCGGGCAGAATGCCCACGCCCCACTGTCCCTGACGAGGCCTGCAGAACACCTGCAGTTGACCCGAAAATCATTCAATTCTTGGGCAAGACTGGCTGGAAGCCTAATAAGGGCCTTGATTTCTCCCTGCGCAACTGCCAGGACAAGATTTTAGACATATTGGGCCCGGCAACAAAAATTTTTGATATGGTCGAAAGTGACCAAGAATTAGATCGTTCCGCCATAAGTGGTTGGATACAAAGAGTGATTTGCCTGATCGGCAATGCCAACTGTGCGGTGGCCACAGAGCATCGCAAAGCGATTTTATTAAAGATAGAACCAAAACTGGTGAACATGGCTATAACCGAACCGGGCGCCCAGGCCCGTGGCCTCCTGTTCGGAGACAACTTTGTCAAGGAGCTTGGCTCCTTTGTTCACACTTTCACTGCCCTAGACAAAGCGCAGTCAAGCATGCGCAAGATTTTCCAGCCAAAGGTTTTTGGTGGGGCCGGAAGAGCCAGGAGCCGTCTGTCCGGCCGTGTCAATAGGGGCTCGTTCCGACAGAGCCGTGGCTCCTACACTGGACATGCCTCCTTCACGGAGCACCGCAACGCCCCGGTTTTCTTCCCACAACGTGGGCAACCATGGGTGGCTCGTGGACCACGTGGCTCCCGCCCAGGCAGACGACCTTATGGTAAGTGCTCTCCTATTTCCTTCTTCCCTATGGGCAGTGGGGGGCAGACTCCGACATTTTTCCCATGTATGGTCACACATCTCGTCAGATGCTTGGGTACTGAACACGGTCAGAGGGTACACCTTAGAGTTCATATCCCTCCCGATACAACTCTCCCCGCCACGGGGCATGCTGTTTTCTCACCAAGACGCCTCCCTTGTAACCAAGGAGGTCTCAGAATTGGCACACAAACGTGCCATCTTAGAGATCCCCATGGCTACCCCAGGGTACGTAAGCAACCTATTTTTAGTTGCCAAAAAAGTGGGCGGCGTCCGCCCAGTTATCAACTTGAAACAGCTCAACACTTTTGTGGCCTACAACCACTTCAAAATGGAGGGCATACACTGCCTCCGAGATCTCCTCCAACCGTTGGACTGGATGGTCAAGTTAGACCTGCAGGACGCCTATCTTATGATACCAATCGCACGGCAGCACCAGGACTTCCTCCAGTTCATATGGCAGGGAAGGAAATGGAGATTCACATGTCTCCCTTTCGGTCTGTCCTCAGCCCCATGGTGTTTCACCAAACTTATGAAGCCCGTGGTGGCTCTGCTTCGAAGTCGAGGGGTTCGTCTCATAATCTACCTGGACGACATCCTTATCATGGGTCGTTCCAACCACATTCTCGACACACATCTGTCATGGACTCAGACTCTTTTGCAAAATTTGGGTTTCCTTATCAATTGGAAAAAATCCATCCTAACCCCTACACGACACATAGAGTTTTTGGGCCTCATCGTGGACTCCACTCTACAGACCCTACAACTGCCGGCAGCGAAACTGTCCACCATGAAGAAGGAAATCAGGCGTACTCTGACGACCCCCCTGATCTCCCTAAAACAATTGGCGAGAGTGGACGGCCTCTTGGCGGCTTCCATACAGGCCATTTTCCCGGGCCCTTTACACTATAGAGCGCTACAGCGCCTACAAGCCTCCCATTGAGAGACAGGACCGCATACACGGACATGATCGCTCTGGATACAGAAGCAAAGACAGAACTCAGATGGTGGCTATCCCATATGGACGCCTGGAATGGCCGAGCCATTTTCGGTACCGAACCGGATATGATCATAGAATCCGATGCGAGCTTGCACGGCTGGAGCGCACGCTGTGGCACTGTTTCTACCGGTGGCAGGTGGGCCGAAGTGGAGTCGATGCTTCACATCAATTGCCTAGAACTCCTGGCCGGTTCTTTTGCAATCCGCAGTTTTTCTCCAACTCAAGCCCGATGTGCCATCCTTTTGAGGATGGACAATGTATCGGCAGTCCGTTATATAAATCACTTGGGCGGCACGAAATCGAAGGTCCTGGCGAATTTGGCACGAGACTTTTGGCAATTTTGCCTGGCACACGGCATTTCGGTCACAGCAGAGTACATTCTGGGCCTCAACAATACCACGGCGGATTGGTACTCAAGGCACCTCAGGGATTCCAGCGACTGGCACCTGGAACCCAGGGTCTTCCAAGACATCCAGTCCCTATGGGGTCCTCTGGACAAGGACTTGTTCGCTTCCCGTTTGAACACCCAACTCCCCAGATTTTTCAGCTGGAGACCGGACCCGGCAGCGCTGGCAACAGATGCCTTTACTCAGGACTGGTCCTCCAAAAGGAACTACGCGTTTCCTCCCTTTGCGTTGATTCCACGCTGCCTACTACAACTACGGCGACAGACGGGAACGGCAGTGCTCGTGGCGCCATTATGGCCGTCTCAACCATGGTTTCCTTCCCTGTTGGAGATGGCGATAGACGTACCCCGTACTCTCCCACACTTCGATTACCTACTTCGAGACCCGGACGGGTCCCCCCACCCCCTGGTTCAGCAAGACTTATTACACCTCATGGTGTGGCTGATTTCCGGGAACCTTACTCAATCGAAGGAGTTTCGGAATCGACTCTCCAACTTCTCGAGAGCGCATGGGCACCCGGCACGAGACAAGCTTATAAATCTGCTTGGCGCAAATGGCACGATTGGTGCATGGAACGGAATTTGGATCCCATATCAGCTCCTCTGACTTCGATCCTGCAATTCTTAACCTCCTTGTTTGAAAGCAGCAAAGCATATCGCACGGTGAACCTCTACAGATCGGCCATTTCAAACTCACACCAAGGCATCGAGGGCGCACCGATAGGACGCCATCCACTGATATGCCGACTCTTGCGCGGCATCAGATTCACAAGACCTCCGCTACCACGCTATTCCGTACTGTGGGACGTCTCCATCATCCTCAACCTCCTCGAATCTTGGCCAGATAACGCAACACTATCTCTGAAACACCTGTCGGCGAAACTGGTTATGCTACTATGTCTCATATCCTGCAAACGGGTATCAGACGTTAGAGCCTTAGACGTCACCGCACGGTCTTATACTCCGGAAGGGGTCGCTTTCGATATATCTCGGAGAACAAAAACCTCTACGAAGAAGGTGACATATCCAGCCTTTCCTGACAAACCTCGCTTGTGTCCGGTTCAATGTCTGCAAACCTATGAACTTCGCACCAAGGCGTTGCGGGACCCGTTTAGGCATGAACTCTTCATCTCCTTCCAGAGACCACACCTACCTGTGTCTACCACGACCCTGGCTCGCTGGGTCAAATGGATCATGGCTACGGCAGGCATAGACACTTCCATATTTTCGCCACATTCCATACGAGGAGCAATGGCTTCAAAAGCCTCTTCGATGGGTTGTCGCCTGGAAGACATTCTGAAAGCAGCCGACTGGTCTTCAGAATCTACCTTCCGTGACTTTTACTTCAAACCAATACACCACTTTGCAGGAACGGTAGTTTCTCAGCTTTAAACCAGCATAATAGGAGCCTCCGTGTCTTAATAAAATTCACAGATTTTACTATTACCATGACGTAAAGTCATGATTTTATTAATGACACGGAGGCGAGTATTATCCCTCCCTCCCACCCTGCGACGGGGGAAGGATAGACGGAAGTTGGGTAAGTTGACCTACGGTAAGTCATTTTACCATGTCTAGTTGTTACAGTTGTAATCGCCAGATGGTTACATTACAGTTATACTTAGATCAAGGTAAGTCTTAGCTACAATCACTGATTACCTATCTGGACACCCACATTTATAGGTTACACAACAATATTCACTTGGACACAACACTGACCAAACACTATCTTGAATACCTATGACTATGCATACACTAAGTTTTATGCAAAGATATTACCATATTTTTCCTCTCTTACAGCATAATCTGCCCATCTATTCCGGGAATACCATGTTCTATGCAGTTCAACATTTTATTGGATAATTTTACTTCTTCGGCATTGCAA